GCAGCACTGCAGGAAGCACTGGGAGCATCTTCGAGGGACTTGGGAAAGCAGCAGCATCTTTAAGTCTTCCTCAAGGGATAACATCTGGCAGGGATTCTGGGGGAAGGCTGATTGCTGATGCCCTATTTCAAACATCCAGATCCAGTATTTTGGGATCCTGATGAGTTTTCTGTGCAATACTGTGTGTGTTTGGAACCGCAGTAGGAGGAGTGTAAGTCCAAATTCGTTCTCCTTAGTGCAAAGTCCATGGATTCTGCAAACTTTGTAACAGGGAGGAATTTTTGTTATCACTTTCTTTAGGATTTCCAACCAAAGCACAGCATCTATTTTGGGTAATTGAGCATCTTATTTGAGTAGCTCTTCCAAGATGGTCTAATTTTTCCCCTCACAGATTGTGAAACAAAAGAGAAAATAAAAAGTATATGTTTTTATTTCATATGCTTTAAAATTTGTTTCTGACACAGAGTGAGGGAGTAGGAGCCTCAACAGATTTACCATCCAAAGGAGATTTTGCTACATTCACCTCCCAGTATTACATTGAATATTGTAATTTTTATTATCACATGCAATGTAAATATGTGGGGCCTCCAGCCTCCATAGTTAAAGGGAACTTCTCAAGGCCACAGAAGATTATTTGACATTCATCCTGCTCAGTTGCAGGCTCTGAGTTGGTTTGGATCTGAAAGGAGAGGAAATTTTGAGCACTGACCCCTTGACTGTGCCAGTGCACAACCACTACCAAGAGCAAGGAGGGTAAGGTTGGCATGACTGTTCCCATGAGTTAGTGTAGTAATTATGCAGGAATTGAGTGGAGAAATAAGAGGAAAACAGCAATTGCCTGTAGCAAAACTGCCAGTGGCCCTGCAGATCACGGGACTGGCACTTTTCTTCCTCATGTGCTCAATTAACAAGCTCAAGAAATGAGTTCCAGCTCCGGAGTTTCTGTGTCAGGGAATCTCCCCAAGAGGGACGTGCAGAGAGCAGGATTGGTTTCAGAGGTGGCATTACACGGGCTCTAAGATAATCCACAGGCTTTGAGGAGAACATGTGAAATGGTGGCACAAAAGCTTTCCCACAACTTGACATAAAGGCTGGGGAGCTCAACAGCTGCTGCTCTGAAGGGAGAGAAGGAGCCCATTCAGGGCAGCACAATGGAGCTGGGATGGCAGAGCCTGGAGGAGCTGCTTTAAACCTTACCTGGGCCTGCAGGAATGAGCTGCAGAGGGAGAGAATGTGCCTGTGTGCTCTGTGTGTGTGTTCACACTGACAGACATGAGTGACCACACACGTGTAGTGATGTACAGAGGAACACACATGTATTAATGTCAACACAAGCAGCATTTACTGCTGCAGGAAGAGCTCCCCAAACATCAGCCCTGACATTACTTGGCAGATGAATTGCTGGCAGATCTGGTTCAAGTTTTCCAACAGGAATCCCTGTCTCTGTGTTTATCAGACACAAACAGTGACACTGTCAGCTCTTCCCACTGCAGACACCCCCTGAGCACCTCTGTGTGGAAACTGGCCCTGTGGAGAATAATGAGGAACCAGGAATTCGATTTCTCATAAGTTTGTGGGGATATAAATTTCTTCTGCAGCCAATCTTCCTTAGTGCATAGACTAAAAGAAAATAATTAGAGAAAAACGTGTTTTGTGGAGGAAGTGAGAAGCAGCACACGAGACTGAGCTGATCCCCAGACATCCTAAGACCCTTCTTCACACATGTTTATCTTGCAGGTATTTGGAAACAGAAACATAAAATGCTTGTAACATGTCTTCAGAGTTTTCTAAAGGGCTGCATGAGGTACCGAGGGAAGAGAGCAAAGACCAAACCAGAAAATGTTTTCAGTAATTGCGTGTACTTAACATGAAATGTATTTATTTGCAGTAAGCCAAAGCGGAAAAGCTGTTTTCTGTTTCCCATGGGCAAAGCTGGTGCCTGAGTCACCTGTGGGAGAACCATTCCTTTGGCTCACAGAGGAAACCAGGTGAGTGGATTTGAGGGATTTCTGCTCCTTCTCTCAGAGTGCTGGGAGCTGCTCATGTGTGCATGTCCCTCATGTGCCATATCCCTGCTCCATGTGCCTTGTCCCTGCTCCATGTGCCTTGTCCCTGCTCCATGTGCCATGGCCCTGCTCCATGTGCCATATCCCTGCTCCATGTGCCATATCCCTGCTCCATGTGCCTTGGCCCTGCTCCATGTGCCATGGCCCTGCTCCAGCGTGTGCCTCAGTGCATTCCCAGGGGCAGTGCAGCCTTCCCGCCATCAGCAGCTGACCTCCTCCTCCTCCTCCTCCTCCTCCTCCTTCCTCCTGCCTGTGAACCCCAGGCTGCCCCTGGAATGCTATTGATCCATGGCATTAGTCAGCAGCCTTTCCCATTGAAGGCCAGCTCTTTCCCAGCTCCTGACACGTAACTCTGATCCCAGGCTTTCACGTAGCACACACTCCCCACCTGCTCATCTGGGAGAAGGTCATTATCCGCAGGCTATTCACTGCCACTGGAGCATGCAAGAATAGCTGCTTCTCCCATTGTGCTTCCCATCCCCCGGATTGGCTGCGGACTGTGGGAAACGCCACCGAGCCGCAGACCCACAGACTCGCCCTGAGCTTGGGCAGTATAAATACCAGGCAGAGGCAGCTTCCAGCAACACGTTTCTCCTGGATTCCACTCTGAGAGCTCCCTTCCCTTCTCAGGACAGATGGCTCCCAGCACCGTTTTCTTGGAGCCCGACAACCTGCTGACACCAAAGGAGAAAAACAAAGTAAGTCCTGGCACAGACTGGCAGCGCTCTCGGCTGCTCCCGGAGCATTGACACCAGCTGAGAACCTGCCCCACACGGCTTAGGAGCAGGGATGGGAACCAAACAGCCCTGAGGGGTGACAGACAGAGGATCCTTTAATAACAGGTGTCTTTTCCTTTGCTTTTTACAGCTGAGGAAGCCGGTGGTGGAGAAAATGCGCCGGGACCGGATTAACAGCAGCATCGAGCAGCTGAAACTGCTCCTGGAGAAGGAGTTCCAGAGGCACCAGCCCAACTCCAAGCTGGAGAAAGCCGACATCCTGGAGATGACTGTCAGCTACCTGAAGCAGCAGAGCCAGCTGCAGATGAAGAGTGAGTATTGAATTTTTTTTCATTCTCCAACTTACTGCAAATCTGTGACAGTTGTATTAATCCTAAGCCATGAACAACTGCTTAAACTATTCTTTCTTCCCTCTCCCTCTCTTCTTCCCTTCTCTAGCTGCAGGATCCTTCCATAAAAGCTCCCAGTTTGACTTCAGAGAGGGCTATTCCAGGTGCTTGCAAGAAGCTTTCCACTTCCTCTCTCTCCATAAAGTCCGAACTGAAACCCAGACCAAACTTTTAAGCCATTTCCAGAAGAGCCAGTCGGCCGCTCCGGAGCTCTCCTGCTGCCCTGGGAACGCCAGCCCCCTGAAACAAGTGTCTCCAAAGGACACCTGCCCTCTCTGGAGGCCCTGGTAGTCGAGGAGTCCTCTCTGCAGGGACCTGTGACAGTCCAGAGGAAGGATCTGACTGCATCTGATAGTCCAGCTCTGATCCTCTCTGCTGTAGGGAATTTTATTTCCCCCTGTATTTCATTTATGTGTGAAAGAATGCCATACTTTTGACTTTTTTGGGATCCTTTGGCAAAAGTTGTGGTGTTCTGTTTGGTGTGGAAGCTGTGTAGGCACTGCTGCAGTGCTGCCCAGGCAGGGGCAACGTCTTCAGAATGAAGGAGGGTGTTTGTAAATGTTACAGTTGTGATGGACAGCAATTGCTGTAGGAGATTTTCTCTAATATTCCCTGTAACAGCCACCAGCTTTGCTCTGGCCTGACGAGTGACTCGGGTTGGCTCACTCACTCCAGAGGAGAAATTTATCCCCTTTGCTCCATGCAGACTTGGTTAAAGTCCATTTCCCACTGTTTGCTTATCAATTGTGCAGCATCAAAAACGGGTTTGGTTTTAGTTTGGATTTCTCCCCCATGGCCCTTTCATTGTTCTGTATATCCAGTGGGAGGGATGACCAGGAGTTAGGAAACTATGTGGAATATTTCTACGCTTTGATGCTTTTTTCAATTTAGAAAAAGAGTATGTTCCTGCTTTATGTTAAAGAAAAGGTAGTAAGTAACAGGCTTGATTTGTCAATGTTATACATTCTGGGTGTAAGCTATGCTTTTTTAGCATTTTCATTATAATAATGATTTTTATCTGTATTGAGTAGTTGAATTCCTGGTGGATGGTGTTTCTCCCAGTGCTGGGACTGCCCTATGGCTCACGTGCATACTGTGTATGCGTCTCTGTGTGTGTAGAGAGCAATAAAATGCATTTGTGTGCAAGCCGTGTGTGGTTCTGTCCCTCTGAGGGATGTGCAGCTGCTCGCACCCCTGGGAAAGGTTAATGTCAGCCTTCTGAAGAAATGGTTATTTTTGTGAAGCTCAAGGAACTCCCATTCGTGTCTACTCTGTATTCTCGTGAGTCCCCCCTCACCCCAAGGAGTAAGAAGTTCTCCTGGCACCCAGATTCCCTCAGCTGAGTCCTGCTGAGCATTTCCCTGGTCATGGCCCCTCCTGGCCGCGCAAACCCCTCACCTGAGCAGGAGGGTCTCGCACCTGCCCACCAGGTCTGCAGGCACCGATCTGCATCCTCCCTCCTTCCACATGAGTTTCTCACAATGAGCCCCCTAAGCTGGGGTTTGAGGGGTTGTTTGCCACGATTTGAGGGGCTCGTTTTGGGGTTTGAGGGGTTGGTTTGCCGGGGTTTGAGGGGTTTGTACCACAACTCGAGGGGTTTGTTCCAGGTTTTAAGGGGTTTGTGTGCCAGGATTTGAGAGGTTT